CATAAAACAGCATGTGTGTTACTGTTACATGAGAAACTATCTGTTCTGTAAGCCTTCACCTGAAGTACAATAAAATATTAAAAAAAAAAACAAAAAAAAAACTCCCAGACCCTAAGCGCTGAGCCTCTAGTGCCTGATGGATAAAATAGCCCTAAGACTGTGGCAGCCAGGAAGACTCATGATGAATCACTAGGATCAAAAAGCACAATCAGAAAAACCCCTTCCTTAGGCCTCCCTGAGTGAGACTAGCTAGCTGCAGGGCCAGCACCTACTTAAGGAAAGTATGTTTGCAACTTAATTGGATTCAGCGGTTGCAAAGGCTGTGGTCAGTTGTCTTGGGCCACAGGAAATGTTTAAGCCAGCCCTAGTCTCCTGCTTCCATCCCCATCCTCTCCCTCCAAAGCCGGAGGCTTAGATGTGCAACTATTAATGAACAATTACTTGGCAATCCTTCCATTTCAGTGGGAGAAGCTCAGATGTGCCTGCAGAAGGGAAATGATTTCCTGGAGTAAAAAAAAAAAAAAATTTGCTCCCCAGGGCCCAAATCAACTGCTTGCTGGCTAATGTTCTCCTGGGTTCAAAATTAGTGTTTTGTTAGCTTTATGGGGAGAAGTGCACAAAACAGTTCCCATTGTGGAAAGGGTGAGTTCTGTTGGTGAACTAGGCTCTATCTTGGAGATGGAAGGACAAACATCTCATACATTTCCCATTTGGCAACATGGATCCTAAGAGCCTCAGTGATTTTTGCCACTTCAAGGAGCGGTTTATCTCAAAGTCAGGGAAGTCACACAAATCCCAGAGGGAGAGATGCTGGGTGGGGTCCAGTACATGAACACACACCTGAGACATTGTAACACAGAGTTCCCCCAACTTCGGTCATTTGCTTCCTATCTTGACCATTTTTACAATATCCATTTACCACTAGTTTTATAATTTACTAATATTTATTTATTCATTTAATTCAGATAGCTCTTTGAAAATGAAACTGCATAACACCATTTTTCAAAAAATACTAGTCTCACTTAATAAATAGAAGTAAAAATAAACATAACGAATGCAAACTAATTGTATTAGATTCTATCCAGATACTGTTTTTTGCTGAAGAATCAGCCTGAGTTTGTTGTCTCTGTTGAAAAGGTAGAGAATCAAACGTTAGAGAGTAAAAAAGAATTCACTTTCTTGCTCTAAGAGGAGACTTGTTCCTTAATGTTATCAGAAGGATTAGAGGAGAATTCTTTAAGGCAATGTTCATGCACTACCTAAAATCATACACAGACACACTCACCATTCTCAGCCTTCTGCTCACACCATGGGAAACGCTTTCTCCTTCTCTTTTCACCTGGCACTAGATCAAGTGACAGGCCTAGAGTCAGGAAACCAGCCCCTGACCCAAGCTCTGCCACTCACTCACATGCCTTGGGAAGAGCCTGTGCCCTTTCAGGGGCATGAGATGATCTCTAAGGTCTCTTCCAGCTCTAATCCTTTCTCATCCCAAGACATTCTCCAACATGGGAAGAACCCAGCTCACCATGCTGTTTTGCCAGCTAGAGCAGTAATTCCCTGGTGGGGAGTGATGACCATTTTTCTTGCTTCAGTGAGAATCTGGGCCACAGAACAGGAAGAAATTAGCCTGACCCCACAAAGTTAATAAAGACTCTTTCAGGAATGCCTGAGCTATCCTGGGAGTGGATTATGGACTCTTGTCCTTTTTTTTTCCCAAGATTAGTTTCCCTTCAGGGTTTGACTTCTTAGAGTTAAAGTGAAGCATGGGAGAGTGAAAAGAATGTGGGCTTGGGACTATACAAACCAGACCTTGAGAAACGTTGAAAATGAAAGATGACATTTCGTTTTATAATTTTGAAGGAGAAATGGAAGGAAGCAATTCCCTGGCAAGTAAATGCCTCTAGTACTGATTTTACACTGTGTTGTGATGGAGGCAGAGGCTGAAGGTCACCACTGTGGGCAAGGGGTGGGGCTCTCCTGAGGAGGAGAATCCATTCACAGTCAAACACCCTGGTGAGAGGCCTGTCCTAGATGAAAATACTGACTGGGGAGGTAGTCTTGGTGCAGATGGGAGGTGGGGGGTTGTCAGGCAGGAACTCCGCTCTGTCGTTGGGTTTCATATTCTTGGACGAAGACTCAGAACAGCCTCAGCTGCACCAGAAAACGCTTCACTGAAGTGGGGCAGGGACACAGCTTGTGAGGATGGGCCTGGGCTCTGGACTCAGCCAGAGCTGATGGTCTATTTATGTTATTCTTCCTTTTGTTAGTCTTAAGCTTCAGTAAAGTCTTTTTAAGGATTAATTTAAAAAATAAATAAATAAATAAATAATCTGGGCTTTTGAAGCAGAGAGACCATGATTCAAATCCTGTATCTGACCTGCTCTAGCTGTGTGATGATGGGCAATTTCCTTAACCTTTCTGAGTCTCAGTTTGCTCATATGGAAAAAAAGGAACTCATGCTCACCTCATAAGACTATTGTGAGAGCTAAACAATGTATTTATTGGGGTCATAACCAGGCACAATATCTGCTGAAATTGAGCAACACACTATCAGTGATGTTCTTAAATATCTGGGGTTGTAGGAACTCACTTAGGGTATGAAATTCTTAGAAGGACTAGCAGGGTTCACCCATGATGACCTGCTCACCCACCTACCTCTCCTTTCTGTTCCATTGTCCCCCTTAGGAGAGATGGCACCTGCCAAGACACAGGTTCAGCCCCTGCTGCTGCTCCTGCTGCTGGGGCTGTGGGTGGCCCAGGTCCCGGTCAGTGCTAAGCCCAGTAACATGACCTCAGCTCAGTGGTTTGAGACTCAGCACATGCAGTCCAGCCCTCAAAGATGTAACACCTCGATAGAGAACATCAACAAGTACACAAAAAGCTGCAAAAACCTCTTCTTGCATGAGTCCTTCTCCAGTGCAGCCACCACTGGCCAAACCCCCAGCATAGCCTGCAAGAACAGCCGTGAAAACTGCCACTGGAGCCAAGAGCCTGTGTCCCTGACCCAGTATTAACACATCTCAGGAAGTACCCAGTCTGCAAGTACAGAGAGGAGAACCTGGATGCGTTCTTCGTTGTGGCCTATGACCCTCCACAACAGAAGGATTACCTGGGTTATGAGCTGGTTCCTGTGCACTTGGACAAAGTTGTCTAAGGCCATGTCCTCCACCCCTAAAGTTCTGCACACTCCCAAAGCTGCTGCTGTGTTTCCTCTCTTGAGTTCTTTACTAATCCTTACCCCCCTTGCAAATACCATTTCCCTCCCACACACCCAGCTTCACATACTCTTGATTCCTTAGGGGCTTTTATGGAAGCGCCAAACGATGACGGAAGAGAGGTCATTCTCTTTAGCCCTTCACTGCTGCGTACTTTGCCTTCTGAGTGCCTGGTACTTCGTGGCCCTTCCAGAGTCAAGCATTCAGGATCTCAGCAAGGGTGGATCCAGGTTGTGTGGGACCTGTGGCTTATAGGGAGGCCCTGGGTGGCACAAAGAGTTAAGCCCTTGGCTACAAACTGAAAGGATAATGTTTCAAACCCACCTGGAAGGTGCCTCAGAAGAAAGGCCTGGCAATCTCCTTCCAAAACCTCGCTGCCATTGAGCAAGCCCTATGGAGTACAGTTCTACTCCGAAACATACGGGTTGGCCATGATTCAAAATCGGTTCAATGGCAACTGGTTTGGTTTGGTTTTGAAATGTTGAAAACTCTATTAAAGAAAAAGAACACAAAATTACACATAGAAAAATAAGGTCAGGTCCTTGGAAGGGGCTGTGACTGGACAGTTCAGAGGGACTCCAGGCAGGGGATACTAACCAAGGAGGAAGGGCAGAAGAATCTGAGCTGGGTTGCCTGTGCTAGGCAAGGGCATGTGTCTGATTTTACTGCAATAAAACACACTGCCGTGCCTGATAGAGTGTGTATTACTGTCCCAGGGGAAAGTATGAAGGTTTGGAGCCCTCTAGCTTCTCCTAAAGGAGCCTTGGTGGCACAACGGTTAAAGCATTCAGCTGTTCACCAAAAGGTCAGCAGTTTGAACCTACCAACTGCTCCGTGGGAGAAAAGACCTGGCAACCTGCTTCCATAAAGATTATGCCCTAGGTAACCCTACGGGGTAGTTCTACTCTGTCCTACGGGGTCGATGTAAGTTGGAATCGATTCGACAGTAAACAACAGCAACAACAAGCTTCTCCTATGTGTCCCAGGAAGGCTCCATCCACTTCCTCTGTCTGCACCTTAAAGGAAGGTGTTTCTCAGGGCCCTATTCTTGGTTCTTTTTCCTTCTCTACACTCTCCTTGAGTGACTTGACACACATCATGGCTTCAACTGACACTTATTTGCTCCCAAAAGCGTATCTCCAGCCCAGATCTCCCAAGTTCAAGCCACATATATCCATCTATGTACTGTTAACTAGCCTCCTCCTACAGGCTTCTCAACCTAAATATGCTCAGAACTGAGCTGGTGATCTGCCCAGCTTCCAAGCTTGCCCTTCTTCTTGCAGGGTCTCTCAGCCTTGGTTAGTGGAAACATCATACCCAATCATTCAAGGTCCCGATCTAGGAGACACTTGTGCCAATTCATTCTTTTTTTGTTTGTTTTTGTTTTTTTGTTTTCCCGGTAATTCCTCATCTATCCCAAGTTCTGCCTCTAGAGGGCATAAAAGTTTTTGGGTTTCCTTTTATTTTCTTTTTTCCAGGTTTCATTGGGTTCCTAACATGTGCCCAATACATGTTATGGCCTTGGAAGGGACTGTGATTTGGAGTTAGGCAAACACACCTAAGATGTTGCAGTAAAAAATTCACTATCTAATTTAGAGTCAAGACTAAATAATGCACATGAAACCCTATGAAACAATAAGACAGAAGAGATTAATGGGTGATATGTATTCTGTAACATTTTTCTCCCACCTCCCCCAGGGTTTTATTAATCCTGACCTAAAATTCCTTCTCTGCTTAATGTTAATCTTCCTGCTGCAAATCTCTGGCCTGACTTTAGGTCTGTAACTAGAGTCCGAGAAAACCAAGAGAAATTCAGCCATTCAATATCTGTAAGAGCTGTGGCCCCAGATGCTGGGAAGAGTGTGTAAAGAATCCAGAATAAAATGAATCCTTAAATAGATTAATTATATCCAAACAAGTGGTGTGTCAACCTGGGTAGGAGTTTATGACTTCCGTGTGTAGGCTGAAGAATTCGAGGGCAGGTAACTTGAATCTAGGGGCCATGAGCTGTGACATCAGCCCTTTCAGGGAGTAATGACACAGCACTGGTAAAACAGGGTTCAGCGAGGCAGTTGGGGACCTGAGAAGAGGTACTCTGGAAGCCTTAGGATGAAATCTCTGCTGGTTATGCTCTCTGGGTCACTGAGAATGGGCTCCCAAACAAATCACTTGGGGAAGGACTCCCCAACAATTTGGGATGGCATAATTAATTCCTAGTGGGTAAGTTTGTTTGGGGGCCCTGGTGGCACAGTGGTTAAGAGTGTGGCTGCTAACCAAAAGGTCAGCAGTTCGTTTCTGCCCCTTGGAAACCCTGTGGGGCAGTTCTACTCTGTCCTATAGGGTCACTATGAGTCAGAATTGACTCGACAGCAACAGGTTAAGTATGTTTTAAGGAGCCCTGGTGGCGCAGTGGTTAAGCTCTCAGCTGCTAACTGAAAGCTCCGCTCTGTGGAACAAGGATGCAGCATCTGGCTTCCGTAAAGATCACAGCCTAGGAAACCCTATGGGGCAGTTCTACTCTGACACACAGGGTGGTTATGAGTCAGAATCGATATGACGGCAATGGGTTTGGTTTTCGGTTGGAAGTATGTTTTACTACCGAAAAAAATTAGAATTAAGGATAGAAACATTTAAGAGATTCAAACGCATGGCATTAATATGTTTGCATTAAGGGATTTATGCGTATTTGGGGTTTTAGGTATTTGCAGTGTTTAAGACAATTTGGTCTATTATAGTAACAGATTAGACTTATTCTAATTTAAAATGCATGATCGGTTTAGATGTGATTTGAAATAGAATTTTCCATTAAAAATTAATTTTGGAACATTTAAGAGAACTTAGGTGTTGAATCACCATATATTTGTGAGTTGTTAAATTTATAATTAGGCACTCAGGGATGTCTTGTTTGTTAGCTCAGATGACCAAATTACTTTAAAAGGACATGGACTATATTAAGTTTTTAAAACGTTTAAAGGAGTTTTATTAACTATGTTTGTAAATGGGACCAAATAGTCATCAAATACCTCTTTGAAAGTGATTATTAAAATTTACTCACTTGTAAGTTAAGCATAACAACTTAAGAACTGGGCTATAACACAGTGAGCAGACATTGTAAAAAGTCAAATTAGCCTGCCAAATATTCTTCTCTGGGCACAAAAGTCACCGTAAGAGACATTTTAAAACCTCACATTGACACTGCAAGGCCAGTCCATTTTCTGTAATGTGTCCACCTACACAATGTACAGTTAGCTTTGGTGGTTGTATGTTCTGCTGTTCCCATGTCTGTTGGTTTTACTGGGCCTTCTGGAAGGGAGGGAAGCCACTGAAGATTGGTAGCCAAGGCTCGGCCTGCCAGTGGAGGCGCCAGGATTGAACCCAGGCTTCATCTCTCCTCAGCGTGTTCTCCTCCCCCTGCACTGAGCAGCCACTCGGTGGGTCATTCTAGTGACTTGGGGAGGGTCTCCCATTACATTCTGGAAGAACTGAGAAAGGCGAGCAGGGCTGCTCTGTGACCAGTGAGACGATGGTAGAGGAAACCAGCAAAAAACGCTCCAAGAAAGAATAAAACTCAGGGTCTATGATTGAGTCTCTATCTGCAATAGGGATCTTTCTTCCTTAATTAACCTAATGGTTTGAGATTACTCTTTACTAAGGAAGGTGGTTTAAGAAAAGAAAACAAAAAAGAGATTTTTAAGCAACTGATTCCTTCAATAAATCAGGCTGCTTGCCAAGAAGCGCATGCTCGTGTGTGTGTGTGTGCTCGCGTGTGCGTGCATGCGTGTGCACCCGTGTGTGCCCGTGCGTGTGTGTGCATGCATGTGTTGTAAACACACGTGCTCGTGGTGGACAGGTGAGATTATGTTAGTGAATAGGAGTGCTATATTCCACCAATTGCAGATTCTTTGGGATCCCAAAACCCTCGTTTGGGGTGCAAATATATCTCTTAGCAAAATTAAAACAAGATAATATAACAATTGCTTGGAATCAGTCACTTAGTTGCTGGGTTTGACTTGAGAGCAATTGGAGCCATGCACAGTATTCAGAGAGAACATCTTGTAATAAGGGTTTTATAAGTAGGTAAAGATTTACCTACCAATCCTCTAGACAGGGTAGGGTGGAGGATGGGCAAAGACCTGGAGGCAGACAATGAACACAGAGCAGGAGACATCAAGGGGCTGGAGATAAGTTTTTATCCACCTGCTGGGCAGTTCTGAGATTAGGATAGGAGGACGCTTTCTTGCCATTGTAATTCCCATGTTGCCTGCCCAAGGGGACTCTGCTGGGGGTCTGCCAATGAGGACTAGGGGCCACTGCTAACTATACCTGACACACTGGGTCTTAATATTTGCTGAACAAAATTTGCTTTTGGAGCAAATGAATGGGGGGCTAGGAAAATACACAAATCACAAATCCGGAAAGCTTATAAAACAATTTCTTTTAAAACTCTCTCATTGTGCTTAAAAATACCCAAACTTAAAAAAAAAAAAAAAAAAAATCTGTTGCGCTCAAGTCAATTCCAACTCATGGTGGCTCATGGTGTGTAAAAGTAAAACTGCACTCCATAGCGCTTTTAAGGCTGCGATCTTTTGGAAGCAGATAGCCAGGCCTTTCTTTGAAGGTGCCTCTGGATGTATTCTAAACTCCAACATTTTGGTTAGCAGTCAAGCGTTAATTGTTTGCACCACCCAGGGACTCCTTAAGGGGGGTTTAGTACTTATGGAGACAATCTGTCCTGTTTTCAGGCAACTCTAAATATTAAAAACTCTCTTATATAGAACCGACTCTACTTTTCTATAACTGCAGCAATTCTCTGATACAAGTCCTACCATTTGGAGCTATTCAGATAAGTCCAATTCCCCTTCACAATCAAGCTTTTAAATATTTTAAGAGTGTTTCATGATCCCTGACCTCCAAATATTGTCCTCATCTGACAATAAAA